TTATCGAGTTGGCCGCGTGGCCTAATGGATAAGGCGTCTGACTTCGAATCAGAAGATTGAGGGTTCGAGTCCCTTCGTGGTCGATTATTTTTGTCTCYCCGATTAGTAGGGCACTTGTGCCCGGCTAGAAGATATAGAGACACTAATAAAGTTATTATTATTATATAAGTAAACGTAGTTCAAATTTATCTTGCAGGAGTCATAAACCTGTACCAAACCCAGGAAATAATACCGATATATTTCTCCAGGAACTAAAGGTTTTGCTTACCCGATGTGCACGAGACCATCTTATTGTCCTTGTCAAAGAACTCGGCCTTGCAGCCTCCACAGTAGTTTGGTCTACACCGTGCCTTAGGGTTGGACGGGCAAGAGGCATGTTGGCATGGGTTGACAAAGCACATGACGAGGGGTTGACCATAAGGACATGCTACAGAAGCAATAAGGAAAATGTATATCAGTAGTGTTAAGGGAGCATTCTGATTAATCTTGACAGAACAGTGACAGAACTATTCTCAATGTATACATAATTAGTGTGTCACGTAGGAATTTAGCAACCCCCCATTTACGGACATTGGAGTTTGCGCAGTGCGGGTGTAATGCTTTGCGACCCCTCCATATATAAGCACCACACCCAGATCCTTGAATCATTCCGTCGGAAGCTGCCTAAGGAGAGAGTAGAAGATTCACCCCACCCACCTCCCCTGGTGGCGGATGACGACGCATCGCATGCTTTTCGCATGCTCATTGCCAGCAGTGGCGGTCACCTTCCATATCTTAATTCCCGTGACTCAGTAATGAGTATGCAGTGAGGATAAAATACTATGGGTCGAATGAAAATACCGCTGACCCTACCCTAAATTCGTCCGGCTCTCTCGCATGATGGATGGTTTGCTGTAAGGTATGTGGTGTTTCTGGTTAGATTCCTGGACTCAGTACCACGCGAATAGAGTTTATTGGGTCTCTCCCTTGATTTGAGCGTTCAGTTTTCTCCGGGTTCCCCTTTATTCCTCCCTCCACAAACTAAATCAAAGCAGCTAAATTCCAATTCGATCTGTGAGTTAGCCGAGTCTTTAAATTTGATCAGCTCTGAGGTCGTATCTGGGTATCGATAAAATCTGAAGGTTCTCTCCCAGAGATTCTCCTTAGAGTGATTGAGGTTAGACATTAGGCAATTCCTTTTGGAAATATTTGTGTGAAAAGACTGTTGCACTAAATTTGCCGAGAACAAATCTGTCAGCTATGTTAGAGAATTACGTTTCTTAATTGAGGTCAATCAAGAAATATCTTCCTGCAAGACATGTACAATAAGGCAAGGATCTATTAGTTTAACACTTTGACCATTAAATAGTCACTCTACCTTTTCGGACAGGTGCAGAACATTCTCTGCCACAGCCATTGCTGCAGCACTTCTGATCACCAAGGCAATCCTTGTCATGACCGCATTTGTTCATACAGATTCCCACGTGATCAATAGGGCGGTGGGGACAGACACCCGGCTTGTCTACAAAGCATTAAAAAGTTAAGAATATGAATACACACGGGATTGACGAGATTCTTTCAAACAACTGCAGCGCGCGAGATTGCCGTCCGACAGTCACGCCACGAAATTCCGTACCGTGATTTTCACGGTCTCTGAAATCTGCTCTATGATTGGATGATTAACGTGAAAACAGTATTTATGGAAAGCCATTTCACTGTTGCGGCATGTCGTACCGTGTACGCGCGTGCGGTATAAGCCAATGTCCTACGTTTCACTCCCATTATGACTTAATAAATCTATATATAACGTAACTATTGGGCATACTGTGACATAATCCAGTGTAAAATGATATGTGTTCGYCGTGCCTTTGATTTAGATCTTGAGTTTTGTAAATGTTACGATGCAACCACCCCGATAGGACATCATTGCGTACCTTTTAACACAGCTGATGTACACACGTGACCACATCCATTAGAACAACATTTGCTGCTTCCAGGACAGTCATTGTCTTGGGTACAGTTCTCTACGCATGCGCCAACTTGTTGGGGATTAACCGCTGGACAAAAGCCTGGCTTCTTTAGAGCTGATGCACACTTGCAGATGTCACAACCAAACTGATCTTTGACAAAACCGTACTTACAGTACATTAGGCACATGTATGGACTGCAGGCTGACGACAAGAGGAGACGAGAAAAGTTTTCATTTTGTTTGGAGTTATTGGTGCTGTTGTTGTTGTTGTTAGTACATGGTCATGTAGGAAAACTACAAAAGTCTAGGTCTCTTGTCAGACATGCAAAAATGTAGTATCGTTCCTGCCCTACAACATAGCTGTTGGTGATGTACAATACATCCCTTCCCGTGAAAATAAAAGGACGTCATATGTGGCCAGTTAACATGACAAAAGACACCAAGACCAAATCTTTGTCAAAAGTCAACTAAAATGGCCGCTATGACGTCACATTAACCCCAAGAATCGTGAAATCCTTGGATGGTTGTTCTATGTTGTTGTCAATGTTACTGTTACTGTCGATGAGCACAAACAACAGCTAATGTTATTGTAAACGAACACTGTCTGGTTAAATACCTCTGTTACAGTCTGGTTTTCCACGTGTCTGGGTGTTAGGTACGATCACACCAGTCGTAGTATTCACACACCAGCAGTAGCCGGTGGAGGGATGACACTGGGTTTGACTGAATGAACCATTGTTTTCGCACTGGGGAACGTAACGACCAATCAATGAAGGACCACCTGGGTAAAAACTTTTTAAATTTAAAAACCAACAACAACAAGAGAAATTGTCCAAGTGGACTAAATGCAAACAATTAAACGAACAAAACAAACAACTGAACGATGAACGACAAATAGAAGGACGACTATAGCAAATTAAACAAGCAAGCAAAACAGGCAAAGAACGAATTGAATTAGCTGTCAAAACGAGAAAACAAGAAAACAAACTAAACAAAAAAGAAAAGATGGTAAACTTGCAAGTAAAACAAACGAACGAATGAACAAACAAACAAACAAACGAACAAACAACATACAAACGAACGAACGAAAAAACAAAACACTGTGAACAACACCACAACCATGCCATGGGATGTTTATTTAAATAGCTTCAAACACACTTATAATATATCCGTGATTACCTTTAACTTTTTGGCTTTGTAACTGGCATAGAGTCAGTGCTGTAGAGAAAGCAAACATCAGTTTCATTGTCTTAATTTCCAATGTCCAACCCGTACAGTCACGATAACTATTCCGTTTTTCTTTTCTCTTTTTGTCTTCACCACAAGCTCAAAACAAACTACTTACAGCTAAGCCCAACATTAGGACAATTTTTGGGCTTGGTGAATCGTGTCCTGGTGCCAGGCAATTCTTGTCCTTTACTATCTACACACCAGTAGTAGCTTTCATGTTGCTGAATGAACTCGTAGTTTCCTTTAGCGTCACAGCGAGGTCTAAAAGCACCTAGCAGTCCCATAGCTTTTTGACGACGTAGTTGGCATGAAGTAAGTCCTAGATAAGTCAACAAATCAGTAAATTTTAAAACGATACAACTGTTTATCTGTTTGTCTAACGATTGAGGGTTATTTATAAAGAACATGGAGGTAGTTCTTTCTACCTCATTGTTAAWTAAAGAGAACCGCCTAAATCAAATTCTTTGAATTATAGAAAATACTGAAATTTTATCGACACCCTGAAAAAAACTAAATTAGGGACTGGCCATAAAGTAAGGGGGGGGGGGGGAATTCCATTTGAAGGAGCTTGTTTTTTGGTTGGCCGTGTATAAAGTTACATATGAGCCACCCCCTGGAAAAAGGATCCACTGTTTATATAGCTTCTGGATTCTGTTCAGTCAGAATCCCAAAGAATTTTCTTGGATGCACACGTCTTCCACTCCTCGTAACTTTGRCTGATTCGGCTTCATCTTTCTCTCTRTCTTCATCTTCACTATCAGTAAGTCCAATTTCATGAGTACTCATGTCATAACTTTCTTTGTCGCTAATCTATATAAATCTTCAGTGATCCTTATCAGTGTCCAGCATGAAGTATCAACTTCTTCACGCCTTTCGTCTGTCGTACATGTAGTAGCATCTAAAAGGTGCATGGACAGGCAAGCGTTTATTGTTGGCGGACTTTCTCATCTTTCTTCGTTCATTTTGCGCTTGAGCAAACTGTGTTTCTTTATAAAAAGGTCCAAGACTGAAACCTTCAGTTTTGTAAGCATACCACTTTCTTTCATTTCTTTCCAGTTATAGTCTTCGCCAAGAGAATATAAAGTATTTCATATTCTCTTATCTTCGTATATACTTTTAATGACTCTGCTTCCTTGTTTTTCTTCRTTTCATTTGCCCTCTTAACATCTTGTTCGGTTGAGAAAGTATTATGTATATAACCATGAATTGAAATATGACACTATTAATGGTTCCCCTCTTAGATGTTCAGTTTCATAGACAGCCCACCCTTTTCAAGGAGTTCAAAATTATGTGACCCACCCCCTGTTTTAGCTCCCCCCTCCCCCCCCCCTCCCCCAACTTCACTTTATTGCCGGTCTCT